ATATTTTTTTAAATACAAGTACATTACTCTAATAAACTTTATGCAGTTTATTTTTCTTTTTAAGTTTTTAATTAACAGTAATAATTAACAAATATATTACGGTTTTACACATTTCACAGCTAATGATCAAAGAAATTTACGATACTTCGGTTTCATACGAATGATTAATCAAAGATTGCCAATCGCTACGTTCGCAGTCTAACAAAGCGAAATCGCTCCTATCGAAGTTGAACACGCCGCGTGCCGAAGCTAGTGAGGAATTTCGATCGAGCAAACAAGAAGACGTAGAACATCGTAGCACGTGATGAAATAAGAAGGGAGGTGGCGGTACGCTCGACGGGTTTGTGTTGTTGGTGCGTGGGTGCACGCGTGTAATGGTGGAGCGAGTTGCACGCGCACGATGCAGCTGATGACCTTGAACTCTCTACTGATGTTCGACCTCGTGTTCCTGTTTTCCCTGTTTCTCGTCGGGGTCTCTTGCCTCGTGTACTACCTGCCGGGTACTCGGGCGCACGCTTTCGCACCGCACGAGATCATCACGGCGCGAACACCGCCGCGCTATGACGCACCGATCGACAATGTGTAAGGTGGGTATAGGATCGCGCGAAGCGAACGCAGGCTGGTTGATTATGCGAGATGTTCCATCCGACACGATATCGACTACGAGCTGACATTCTATGTGATTCATGAATAGTCGATAAACCGATCGGTTTCCGAAAATCAATTTCCAAGCTGAATTACTCGGTTACATAAAGGTATTATATCCTCGACTATCTCGATTAAATTGTTCTATCGGCGTTTTCGATTTGAAAAGCGCAAAAGTTACATGCACAATGCTTATTCGATTACGAACGCGGATAGTACTTCCCGCGTTGTGCACCGTGCAGTTTGATTTGCACTCCGATTAAATCACGCGGAATGGCTCCATCCCGACGCAAACTGATTGTCCTCTAATTAAATGCCCTGCCTCCGCGATCACTCGTAATCACACAGGCGTGTTAACGTTATTATATGTGCATTCTGTCTCCCGCATACGTTTCCACGCCGACACCGGAAAAATAGTCAATTTTAGTCATTTAGGAACAGCATGCGGTACGAAAATTAATAACGATAATTAGTGAAATGTTACGGTAAATGGAATATCCAATGCACAGCTGATTAGCTGCAAGCAGTTATCGGAACTCGCATGAAGTATTAGGCTTGTCAAAACCATTCTAGGTTGCCTCTTTAATCCGGCCAAATTCGGATATTGCATAATTCAATGCAGTTCCGTTTCAGGTTTGCACAAAAGGTGACCGAGTTGCATGAGTGGTTACACGTTTGTCCGGTAGTTCGAGAATGTAACGTAATACGTCGTGCAATTGAATGTGACAGAAGAAATCAGATTGAAATAGCATACATCTGAAATTATAATCTTCGAAGATAACTACAACGCTAATAATGTAAAATTAAATATTATAAACACAAAATAAGAACTAACATAATAACTATTAAGTATATTATTATAATACTTTCAATCTTAAACTTGACAAAAAATATCGATTTAAAGTTAATAAACGCAACAATAAATTCGGATATCAATGTTTTAAAATTGTCTAAATTTTTTTATTTTTTCAGGTTTTGATTTAGAATATTTTATTAAAGCAATATTCTAGAAAAAGATTAATAAAATATTATAAATAAAGAACAAAAGAAATTTTTTATAAATTATATTGTCGAATTCAAAATGTTTTTCTCACAATTGATATTGCGCATTTACGTGAAGTTGAGTAAAGACTTTAACACCATTATCCGAATTAGCTCGTTAATTGTTCTTGACGGTCTTCTTTATCGCCAGCCGACTGCGCGGAAAACTGGCGCCCGCGAGACGGAATATTTGTCGCGGAAAATTAATATTTCCGCGAAGTTTCTTTTGCACTTGTCGCAAGAGCAATCAGGCTTGGTACACGGTGCTACAGAGAAGCACAAATACTGATATTAGTGAAGACCGAAAGTTTCAAAATTGAATAATCCTAAGTTTTCAATGAGTGCCGGCAAGAAAAAAATAAGAATAGAAAAAAGTACCAAAAGTGACGAATTTTTTTAAATAATAAAATCAGTAAGCCCAACATGTACCTATTTTTTCTATAATACAGAATCTATTATTTATTTTTGCAAAAATTAATAAAACTTTAAATAATATGAATTAAATATTAATTTTAAAACAATTAAAAATCATATAAATTTATACAATTCAAATAGAAAAAAAAGAATACAAAATATTGAATGAAAAATTAAATAAATAGAAATAACATCGGTAATAAATATAATTGTAAAAGCAACAATTTGATTAATGTTGTAAATAGAGTACGCAAAATAAACAACAGTATCCGCAATAAATTCTGCTGTCACAGTGTTTGACCCTGTAAACTTCAGGAAATAACCCGGATATCCATCATCGCGCGAATCAATAGATTTTACAACGGTTCATTGACTGAAACGATCGAAAGATAATACACGATAGACGGCACGCAAGCTACTGTTGTCACACGAGACGGATCGCAATCGCGGAATGGACCGTCTGGAACGGAAAGCTAATCAAGATGTTTATTATGCTCCGCAAAATCGCGATTACAATTGCGCGACCGGAGAGAATGCGGCACATCGCCTTAATTACCGCTTAATTGCTGCAGGAAAGTTACACTTCGGAAATTACGTTTGATTTATAACTTTGTTAACGGGAAACCGCTTGTAAATAGTGTGTGTGTGAGTGATACGCACACCAAGAAAATTTCTGTTCGCGATAACCTTGTAATACATGTCAGTGGAACGAGCAATCGCGCTTGATCGAATAAAGTTCGAACACGCTAAATTGACAGCCATCATGCAGTATTAAGTTAATCACAATTAAAGTCATAATACTCAAATGAATTACAGCAGACTAAAAAATCTTACACGATCCGTCCAATCAAGATTGGATCCGCAAAAGATGGCAGTTTATCAATTTAAAAATATATATTTTTGTTTAAATTAAACAATAAAATGTCACATATTTCATAACTTGTGGTTTCAATCATTTTCGTTATTAATCGTTCATAAAGTTTAATATCGAGACTTCGCAGAACACCAAAATTGCTGCAGCTGTGTCGCGTTATTCTGTGTCGAAAAATGAAGAAAGGCGTTTTCGTTCAAGCGGAAATCTTGTGGCTGTGATCGTCGCATAATAGAGAGGACAATCGCAGCTGTCTAACTTGGAAATGCGAGAATCGGGAAAGTGCAGAAGACCGAAACGTGTCCACGAGAATATGTCGACTTTGGACTATCTGGAAACTAGTTTCACGAGAAACTCGATAATCTAAAACTTATACGTGCGTGGTCATTGTCTATTGGACTTCTCTCAATGTAACACGTAAACATTTACAAGGAAATGTACACAGTAATTTAAATAAGACGACCCATCCCTTTTGAAAAAAAGAACGAGAAAGAAGAGAACGATAAATAGTTTTACGTTACACAAAAAGAAGAAAAAAAAAAACAAGTTGTTAGATAAGAATTTTGAAGATTTATAAAATATATCTATTTGACCGTAAAATAAGATTTATCTGATAATAAAATTATAACCATAATTAAAATCAACCACGCAACATAAAAAATAGATGTAATATTTCACAATTATCATTAAAAATTCAGAATTTTTTGCATATTTAACGCTATTTTTTGTATTTTCGTATTTATTCCACATGTCAGACATCTTAGCATAATAATTAGATAGCAGATTAAATTTTAATACAATTTAAACGTGTCCCACGCGTCATATAAACGTGTACAAGATAAAGCTCTTTTCTCATAACATGATCAAATAGAAATCAGCGAAGAACAGCGCAAAGGGCAGATAACGATAGCCCACGTTACTTTGCTTGAAAGAGCAGTCGCGGAAGAGAACGCTGCTGAAAATGGGGTTGACGTCTATTGTTTTCTCTGACGACGGTATATCTGTTGATTGTTTCTCGGAATGTGCATATGACGTTGAGATTCGCGGTTGCTAAGTTTGCAAGCAAACGCGGACAAAGAAGAACTACGCAAACGCGTTGTCGCGCGTTTGATTAAAAATAAATATGCAAAAACTCGGGATTTTCACCTTCAATCGATAAACATTCGCGCATCTTGATTTTCTTTCCTTGTTCTCCAATATGAGGAAAATATTCCTTGAATATTGAAATTGCCAATTTTAATCGAAGAACATAATTTATAACAAACTTTAATTTGATTTTTATTTTTACGATATACTACAAACTTTACAATAAATTTTCTAAATATTTTTTAAACTTTTTTAAATCTTATAAAGCTAAAAATTGCAAAATGTATAAAAATGTATAAAATAAATGTAAATGTATAAGATAAAATATCAATAAATCATATAAAAACCATTTACTAACTACATAATATAATAATAAAATCATATCTGCATATCTCCGATATAAGGAAATATTAGATCTATGTGTGCTATTTTGATAAAATATTAATATAGCAAATCTTTTATAGTGATAAGCTTTCCCGCATCTGTTTATACAACATAACGTATTATCGAAGAAAATGAATTTACATAACTCTTGCAAAATAGAGTTCCTTGCTCGAGCACGTTAAGCCACGACGACATGTATGTCGAACAAAGGGGCTAATATAAACGAGACTGAGCAAGCAACAAGCCCGATACCTTCAATATGCACGCCCTAGCTTGTTTGCATTTGTTTATTCGCGACACGGACTGTAGAACACGTTGCCGCCATGTCGTTTCCCTGATCCTGTGCATGTTCATTCCAAAAGAAGATAAAGTATTGTCACCTCTCAAAACCTCTATTTTCCAATCTTCTTGACACATTTTTAGCTCATATTTTTGTAAAACTTAATATTACAATTTCGCTCGTTAAAAAAACAATATTTATGTAAAAAATTAAATAATTAAATTTTTAATTATTGGACACAGTTATGAAGTATGATTAAAAATATTTTCTCGTTTACAGAATGCCAGCGGACGTGACTGGAGGCCCAGGATTCGCAGTGGTAGCAGGGGATGTTCTTGCCTTAAGAGGCACGGGACTCGCTGCTGCAGAAACATGGGCTCTCCTTTGCCAGGCTGCCCAGGCCCTCCAGGATCTCTTTCTTTCAAGTAAGTTGAAAATTATGTATCTATTATGCATTGTGTCCGGTAAAATAATGCTCCGGTATTACTATAAATTACCCTGGCAAGTAATTTCCAGATATAAAAAAAATCTTTAATAAAAAATCAAAAAAGTTTATAAATAAATGTTTACCAAAAAAATATTTATTATATATGTTCAGCTATTGTATGTATCTTCAAGGAAAAAAGCATCTTTCTTCATCTTACTAATTTGTAGTTATAAAATAAAGAAATTATAAAATAAATTTTTTATTATGCCAATTGTCATTAATTATTATCCGTTAATAGGTAACGTATGAATTTAAAAACAAAATTACAATCTTTATATTTCCGGTACCGAAAAAAAAAAATTCCGGTACCGGGAATCGAACCCGAGCCTCCTGGGTGAAAGCCAGGTATCCTAGCCACTAGACCATACCGGATTATATTAAACTCTCTACATCCATCGCACTACAGGCACGATACAAAGTCACTCATATTATTTTATGCTAAATAATACGTAATATATATTTTTTATTCAAATTTTATTATAATAAATATAATAAAATATTAATAAAAATAAAATATTAATATTATAATACTGTAATACGTAAAAATATAATGAAAGAGATTGATACAGAAAATTATGCACGTAATATTTTATATGTTTTTTCTTAATTGTGTAAATTCTTTTAAATTTTAAATGTTTTAAATGTATATACAATCATTGCTATTATGTGCTATTCGTTTTCCTCTCATGTCAAGGAAATATTTATCTTTCGAAACATGCACGATCCTTTTCTGCTCTCAGAGCAGAGAGTAGAGCAAAGCAGAAAGCATTTGAAGATGATCCATTGGCAAATCCCTAAGGCTTTTCAGAAAATATTGGTTGAATTTGCTGCTAGTTCTTCCTAAATACAACTTCATATATTTCGAATACAACTATTTCGCTATCATATTAAACCAAAACTTTACGAATTAAAATTTGTACGTGTTCTCGATTAACAGAGATAATAATTAATGACATAATTGTGGCATGAAAAAATTAAATAAAGTCATGCAAAATTCGCATTTCAATACGACTATAGCTTCATTCTTCAATTACAATTTGTTATTGAAATCTTGTATTCAATTAAATTTTGATATAATAAATTTATAAAGAATTAATTATTAATACTATGGTTGATCATATTATATACGATATTTAGAATAATTAATACAGTTTCCGTATTATATTATTAAATCAAAGAACAAATAGAAATTTAATGTAATATGTTAGCTATTATAAAAGTTATTATAAATTATAGACTTCTTAAAAATGATGAATTTGCACTCGAGCACTCGTTATGAATGTAATCAGGGTTAAAAGAGATAAAATTATAATATAGAATGTTTTCGTGAATCCTTTCGACACAGAAATATTGTTATCTACATTTTTATTCTCCATGACAGCGATAAATAATCTAGAGAGAAAATCCGTGTCTCTCGCACTAAGAAATATTACACACGACAATGTTTCCAAATGCATTAGCACCCTTTTGAATATTTTTGTCAACGTCATCAAAAATATTGCGGATAATCCACGCTCGATTACATCGATTCCCGTATCATTACTTCTTCGCGTTTAGGACGCCCCGAAGGTCGAAACTGAGAATAAATGTCACGATTTGAGCCAGGCCTCTTACGGTATCTTCTTTTATATCCGGTTTATTTTACGCATCGATAACTCGCCGGCAGTATCGAAAAAAAAAAATGCCTTCCGTGTGACAGGGTACGCTATAAAAATCGCATCCGGCTGCCTCATCTACCCCTCTGGCGCCAAAAATTCTCGACGACCGAGTTACGTGATTGATGATGCATCGAAGAGTTAGGTAGGGTCTTTTTTCCCGAAAAAAAGGGAAACTAAAAGAGTTCATCCGATTAAAGGATTATTTCCTGTCACGGTTATTCACCGGAATCAGCATTTATCTATGAAACATGATCGTAAAAAATTCAATAAAGTGCATAATAAAGTAGTAATATTATTGCAATCAATCATTAACAATACAATTATTATACACAATAATGATACATATATATTAAATAGCCATCATTATTAATATTATCGCTTTAATAATATATTATTTATGATATATTGTCTTTGTTCTGTGTAATTTTTTCTTTTAACTGGTTGTAAAATCACTCTAAAAAAGCTAACAATAGTTATATTTTTATTATAAATGTGAAAAAATTTATCGCAGATTCTAAATAAATTATTTAATGAAATAGAATGCGATGCAATTCAGTATCCTGCAATTTTCGCAATAAAGTAAATATCTTGAGATAAATATCGATCTCACATTTGTTAAACATAATTATATATCTTATCATGTAATTAATAGCACGCATTTAATTGAGTGCCGAAGGAGGTCGCAAAAAAATGTGTAAAAAATGTCAGCGTTTTCACGTGGAAAAACAAACGCTATCACGCTTCCTTTTTCGTCTCTCTATTCAATTTAATACTTGAGAATAGCTGTTATGAGATAATTGTACAGTTTAGCGTATTCTCCATTTCTCACGTAACTGAAATATTAACTTCCTGAGAATTAGCGAGCTTACTGTGACGCTCGCTGGCACTTTTCGATATAAAACAAGAGAGCGCAATTCTTGGCGTTCAAACATTCAATTTATTGAATGATTGCGATTTATTGTAAAATACACAACTGCATTTCATGTCACGTAGTTTTATTATACATATTAAATTATGTATTTTTAACCTTTTTGTTCCGCTACCATAATTTTCATTAAAATCAGCGAGATACGCTTTTCTTTGTTATAATAATGCAATCGGAAACTGCCGCAATGCGCTCGTTAACTAAACTCATTAATATGCCGACTACTTTTTGTACTGAAAAAAATTCGCAATTTCGCGCTGTATGTGGCACTATATCGCGAGTCGCTGTCGATTCGATACGTTCCCCGCGGCGATGGATAAATTTATCATCGCGTGAGATTAACACACTTCGAAGTGCATATCAATACAAAAATTATATTGCCAGCGAAATAAAAATTATTTACTGCAACATGACGTGAGATAAACGTTACATTTTAAATGATGTAAAATGATTAAAACTTTCAAACAAGCGCGGTGAAACTGCGATACGAGAATAGGACATTACGAGGAAGATCTCTGCGATATGAATGTTTAAATGCAGTGCGACGCCGGAGAATGGCAAATGGAATCCAAAGTGGAACATTATTCAATGCATTCCGGGGAGATCGATAGCATTAAATCTGGACAAAGGACAGAGGCCGAGAGGCCGAGCGCCTCTAAATCGCATGTATCGCGATTGCGATGCCCTTCGCTCTCGCCAAGTCAAACGTTGAACGAACATCAACGTTAAATATTCAATAATCACAAGCCGTCGAGGGATGTTATCATCAAAGAGATGCTGCTAATCGGGTAATCGACGACGCTGTCGTAGCATTAGTCGCACCACCGAACAAAGCCATTATAACGGCAGTTGACTTATCCATGAAACTTAATCGTTTAACGTTCGAGATTATCCCTTCGTGCATTAAATAACTTCTTTTCTATATCGATATTGAATCATATCTAATGATGAAAATATGTAACAGAGCTTTTTAGCGACTAAAGCTTTGCTTTCAACTTCTATAAGATATTTCTGGAAATAAGCCTTGAATCTGTTTTTGAGTACCATAATCCGCGAAATGCATCTCGGAGAAGTAGAATCTCGAGAAGCAGCGTCTCCTCCAAAGACCACTCAAAATCTTGCACAATCTCAAGAAGTATCTCTCCTGGCAGATTTCGAAAGACTTAAAGATAAAATGCATATCAAAGGTATCTGAATCGGAAAAGGCGTCTTGAACATCTCAAAAATAAATAGCACAGTATGTCACCTCTTAACAAACACCATTTAAATCTAATAGCGGTCGATACTTTTACTTGATTGCAAAAATATCAAAATCGATATCACCATGATAATCGAGGGATAAAGATCGCGAGGGATAAACAAGGATAAATTATGTAGATCAATACGAATTCTTGCTTTGTCTGCTTGATAATATCGGATAGCTAACTAATACAGACGGTGAAATATAGATTGAGGCAAAGTAGCGATATTTCCGGTATCGAAATATTCATCAGCACCCCCCGTTTTCTCGACGTCGCGCGAGATTAAGCGCGTCAAGTCGCGCTCGGCGTTGCGCCAGACTCGCATCTCACTCTTGACTCTCGCATACGCGCGGCTTAACAGGCGTGTTTACAATGTCGGCAATTCGGGCTCTCCAGTTCCTCCTGAGATCGCCGTGAGGTATCATGTATGCGATTGCGATGCCGCATAGCATGACTCACGAGCGCCGTATAATAAGCGGTGCTTCGCCCCGGTACCGCAGGACCCCGGACCCCAAATGCCAAGGATTCGCCCTTGCTGAGAATGGCCGGCAGCTGAAAACTTTGTTTTATCCGTGACGTTAATTTCAAACACTTTTGGACATAATTTAAGACGGTTGCTCGGAAAATCTCGCAAGCACTGAATTTGTCGGATATAATGTGATAATATTCAGAGAGAATCGTGAGAAAATTTTCATCTTGAATATTATTGATATTAATATTATTTTTAGAACAGCATCTCCTGCAAATATAATAATTTTAATATTGCTGATGAATAATAATTATATCATTAATATTTTGACCATTGCTACAGCGTCTCAAAGTAATGGACTGTCTTAATATATTTTCCGGTTCTGTGCGGAAGCATGCAATTTTCCGTATGCATCCCAAGAATTCATTCGCGCGCGAATGATTTAATTGCGCATCCTCGAAATATGACTGCACTTTTCCCTCGTGTGAGTGCTGTCGGAAGCTCAGAGAATTATTACGTAAATCCGCGAAGCCGACTTTTAAATGCAAAATGCGGCTTCACCGCTGTCAAGAATCATTCCTGCATAATCGCTACCGTGGCGTCTGCCGCCTTCAACAGCTGGCCGACAGCAAGAATCGTCCGTAT